ACAACACGAGGAACCTGTCAGACCCAGCGAGCAGAGCGACGACACGAGGAACCTTTCCCTCCCGCCGACCAGACAAAGGAGCATCTCACTGTCACGCAGAGCAATGACAAGAGGGGCCAAGAGTGTCTCACTCTTACTGTGCAGTGCAGACAGTGGCCCAGAGACATTCACTCCCGAACAGTGAGCCAGCAGCTTTCCTGTGCAAAGAGAGCAGAGAAACAGAGAAAGAAAAACAGAAAGAGTACGAGCAGGGTTGGGCCGAGAGGAAGAGAGATTTCCACAGCATTGTTGTCAGGAATCTGGTCTGAGCAGCATTTTTTAGTGTGGTTTTACAACATTTTTGATGAGCTGCTGTAATTACTCTAAAAGGAAAGAGCTTGGAAGACTTGGGCATTTTAGCCGTGGGAAATTCCAGGGAAGGAAGAGTCCTGGCCCTTCCTGTCACGGCCGCAGTCCCAGGAGACAGGGAGGACAGGGCAGTCGAGTGCAGCTTCGACACAAGCCTCTCCTGCTGAGCTCACTCCACACACAGGTCCGACAGGCCACGCTGGGGACACGGCAGTGAGTCTCCGTCGTTTTCTCTTCTCAAAGCGCCGATTAGGAGCTTATTTACACGACGCCTGCATCCAGGCTGGCTCCGAATTCATGTAGTCAGTGCTACAGTGCAGGATGAGGGGGAGTAGTGGGGTGTGGTGGGGATCGGGGTGTCAGTGCTGGGTGAGGGAGTAGTGGGGTGTGGTGGGGATCGGGGTGTCAGTGCTGGGTGAGAGGGAGTAGTGAGGTGTGGTGGGGATCGGGGAGTCAGTGCAGGGTGAGGGGGAGTAGTGGGGTGTGGTGGGGATCGGGGTGTCAGTGCTGGGTGAGAGGGAGTGAGTGGGGTGTGGTGGGGATCGGGGTGTCTCGGGGCTGGAGTCAGCAGTGTCTGATGTCTGTCTAAGCTGCTGTGTGTCCTGTCTCTCAGTGCCCCTCCGGCTGTGTGCAGGCAGCCTGCGTGAGCCCACTCAGCGTCATGGCTCTGAGCAGTCCAGCACGGACCTTCTCCCTGACCCAGCTCTGCCTGCGTGAGTCTCCCTGCTCTCTTAGGTGCTCCTTCAGTTACATGCAGTCAGCTGGGCGCCCAGTTTGGCTGCATTTGCTAAGCAGCTCGTGCTGCTCAGGGATCTGGTTGTCCTCCATGGAGAGTGAGAGGGGTTTCTAAAAGTCTCTGCTTTCTGAATGAGGGAGGTTGCTAGGAGACCCAGCTATGTGAATCAGCGGGGTTGCTAGGAGACCCTAATTTGTGAATGAGGGAGGTTGCCAGGAGACCCTGCTATATGAGTGAGGGTGGGTTGCTAGGAGACCCTGCTATTCGAGTGAATGGGGTTGCTAGGGGACCCTGTTATGTGAATGAGGGAGGTTGCTAGGAGATCCTGCTATTGGAGTGAGGGGGGTTACTAGGAGACCTGAGGTGTCTGAGGACTCACCCCCCTCTCTCCTCTTTCTCATTCTCTCTCCCCACACTCTCCTCCCTCTATCCCCTCTCTCCTGTCTCCAGTGCTTGTCCATATCCAGTCCCTTTCAGTCCAGCTGAAATCCCAGTTCCAGAATGTGATCCCGGGTCAGGACCTGGTCCTGGAGGCTCAGATTGACACCGAGCCCTCAGAATCCGTGTACATGGTGTCCTGGGAGCGCAGGCAGCCCGGAGACTCCCTGCTCCAGATCGCCAAGCTCTTCTGGGGGCCCACGGAGACCCTGAAGACGTTCAGTGAGCGTGTTGCGCTGACTGACAGCGGCGCCACCCTGTGGCTGAGGAACTTCAGTTCAGCTGATAGTGGGCTGTACGGCATCATCGTCACCGCGGAGGATGGGACAGAGCGCTCGGCGCAGGCCACAGTGAGTGAGTACGGTAAGAGAGACTGGTCACTGTGGCTAATCCACACCCACTGACCCCCACAGCCTCCCACTGACACCAGCGCACATGGACACACGCTGTCACACATGGACACACGCTGACACACGCTGACACACACGGACACACACAGACACACTCTGACACAAAGTTAAGTTTTTACAGAGCAGGAAGAAAAAAGATCTGGGAAGAAATCTGCCCGAAGGAGTTACGAGGGGAGGTGTGAGGATGTGAAGCGGTCTTCCCATCCAGCAGTGTGAACTGAGTGTGAACTGTGTGAACTGAGTGTGAACTGGAAGTGAAAACCCGGTGATCTGTGGTTCTCGCAGTGGCTCGTGACGCACTCCTCCGACAGGACAGGTCTGTGGTGGAGTGGCGGTACCATCGGGCACACAGCGAGCGACCCACTGACCTCACGTAGCGGCACATTGCCCTGGGGACGATCCTGGAGAAAATCCCACAGCCACAGAGAGAACATGCACACTCCACCCTCTCA